TATGGCCTTTCTCCGTTTGAAAAATGTTTTTATCTGTCTCGAGTTGAACATATTCTATGACTTCTAAATGTTCAGGAAGTCAGTACATACAGCGCCGTACATACGCCCCGTGCATATAGACACAGACCGTAGTAAACTTCGGGTAGGTTGTTGACTGAGAAGTTATTGGTTCCAGGCTGATAACGAAAGAATCGTTTAATCTAAAGGAAAACTAAAATAGTCCACAGTTACCCAGTATCATGGTCTTTCTCCGTTTGAAAAATGTTTTATCTGTCTCGAGTTGAACATATTCTATGACTTCTAAATGTTCAGGAACTCAGTACATACAGCGCCGTACATACGCCCCGTGCATATAGACACAGACCGTAGTAAACTTCGGGTAGGCTTTCTCCGTTTGAAAAATGTTTTATCTGTCTCGAGTTGAACATATTCTATGACTTCTAAATGTTCAGGAACTCAGTACATACAGCGCCGTATACATAGCCCCGTGCATATAGACACAGACCGTAGTAAACTCCGGGTAGGTTGTTGACTGAGAAGTTATGGGTTCCAGGCTGATAACGAAAGAATCGTTTAATCTAAAGGAAAACTAAAATAGTCCACAGTTACCCAGTATTATGGCCTTTCTCCGTTTGAAAAATGGTTTATCTGTCTCGAGTTAAACATATTCTATGACTTCTAAATGTACAGGAACTCAGTACATACAGCGCCGTACATACGCCCCGTGCATATAGACACAGACCGTAGTAAACTTCGGGTAGGTTGTTGACTGAGAAGTTATGGGTTCCAGGCTGATAACGAAAGAATCGTTTAATGGAAAGGAAAATTAAAATAGTCCACAGTTACCCAGTATTATGGTGTATATCGGTTTGAAAATGGTTTTATCTGTCTCGAGATAAACATATTCTATGAGTTCTAAATGTACAGGAACTCAGTACATACAGCACCGTGCATATAGACACGGACCGTAGTGAACTTCGGGTATGTGAAAATATGTGAAAAATGTACAGTTGGTAGCAGAAAATCATTTTTGTAACATTCAAGGACATACAGGATTCTAAGAGGATAAAAATAGGCTACAGGCGTACTATAGTGTTTGAAAATAAAGTCCAAATACAATACCGCCCTTCACTTGACAGAACGTTTCCTAGCACACGCACTCAAAACGTCTGCAGTGTAACAGCCCTCTTTTCACAGTGTAATCGAATGGGCTTAGACACAAGCCATGTTAGCTTTGACGCGAGAGACGCATAAAAGCTGGAAATCCCTGTCGGCGCTCTAATTGGTTTGCGTTCTGGGCGCAGGTTATCGTCAAAACCCCTTGTTTAATTGTTCTTAGTTAAAACTCTTTGGTTACGCTTTTCCGCACTTATTTATACTATCTTCACCATAGTTCCCTGACCAAGAACAAATGTCAGAAGCCATCGCTCATTATGCAAATCGGGTGTAATTGGCACCTCAACGTGAAGTTGGAACCTCACCCCTGAGGCGAAGACCCTAAAGCGGAGGCGCGAGAAGCCCCACAAGTTTGTCTCACCCCGATGTGTTTGCATTTTAACACCTATTTGAGGAGGAATCTCGGAAACCTAGAAACGGTCGTAAATAAGTTTGTTACCTGTTACAAAAATTTTCACATAAAATCACATAATCATCTAGGACATAGGCAAATGTGAAATTATGTGAAGCATTTTCACATAAAATAACATTCTGACCTCTTATGTGAAAAAATGTGATTTGAACTTCACATAATTTCACATTTGACTCCTTTCAGTTTGCGGGGTAAAACCGCTTCACATTTCTTCACATCTTCTCACATTTTGAATTCACATTTTTTCTTGCCATCTTTTCGGGTTGTGTGATTTCACATAATCGATTCACATTTTTCAAACAGTTACATTGTTTCACATAAAATAACATTTGACGATTCACATTTTGAAAAAAAATCACATTTTGGGTTTCACATATTTCTAATGGGATTCACATTACATCACATTTTTTCACATTTCATTAAAATTTTGCACGAAATTCACATAATTTTCACATTCATGCACCTGGTAGTGTATACACGTGCACGGGCGTCTATGGTATATGGTACACGTATGCCCCATACGGGCTTTTACTTACGTCGTACGTTTCTCCCCGGATAGCCATGTTAACACCGTCCCTATATTATTTTTGTCCAGCAGATTTTGGAGAATAACAAGTGAACAGCCACCATGTTCCGGTTCCCTACACGTTTTCCAGCGGATATTCGAGTTCCTACGATTGGCCGTGGTTGTGGCCATCTATATGGCTATGACAACAATGGCACGTCCAACAATTACGGTTACATCTATAACCCCGTCAACAGATTCTTACAAAACTACGACCATGGACGTGAGCTCCTTGCTGCACTTGCCACCCAGCGGAAGACTGGGGAATTCCTTGATGTTGTGGTACAAGTCGAGGGTAGAGAGTTCCCCTGTCACCGGGCTGTGTTGGCATCCACGCGGTATTTCAAGACAATGCTGTCCTCCATGAACCTCTCCGAGAGGGATTCAGAGGTCATACAGCTGTGCGGGATAGACTCCACAAGCTTCTCCAAAATCCTGGACTTCCTGTACACCGGGGAAATCTGCATCCACAAAGACAATGTTCAGAACATTCTGCAGGCGGCGCATATGCTACAGTTTGACAAGATTGTGCAGTGCTGCTGTGGGTTCATCGAAGACAACCTTTGCCCATACAACTGTCTGGGCGTCATGCGCCTGGCCGACATGTATGGGGTTTCTGCCTTGAAGAAGAGCTCTTGGGACATGGCAGTGTCAAATTTCTCAGATGTCACACAGGAAGACGAGTTCGTCAACCTTTCGGTGCAAGAACTTGCCGATCTAGTCGGAGATCAGCATCTGAAAGCCAATGAAGAGGATACCGTCGTCCATTCTGTAATCAAGTGGCTCGACTATGCCCCTGAGGACCGTAAGACCGGAATCCTCAAGATTTTACAAGAAGTCCGTCTGTCGTGCGTGAGGGTCAGCGTCCTAGAGAAGCTTGAGTCACATCCTGTGATACAAGAGTCCGTAGAATATCTGACAAAGGTCACAGCAGCCAGGGAGAAACACCTCCTCGGTACACTACGACCACCTACCGATGCAAAGGGAGACGAGGCTAATGGTAGTCCTAGACGCGGGATATCGGACAACCTGGCAATTGTTGTCGGTGGATGGAAGGAAGCGAAGAAATTTGCTCGTCAAGAAGTGAACCCCATGACGCCCCTGCAAAGCATAATTTGCTGTGATCCAGACAGTGAAAAATTCTACCACATCACTACCCTCCCCACGCCTGTCTCCGGCAACATGAGCGTGACAAGTGCAGGGAGACACCTGTATGTGACAGGTGGGCGGGTCCATCCTCGAGTCGGCCAGGGTCCCCATTCTGCTCCATCCAGACAAGCCTTTCGGTACGAATTCCCTTCGGACACTTGGCTGAGGCTGCCCGACATGCCTAGCGTCAGGGCAAGGCATCAGTCGGCTGTCGTTGACGGGAAACTCTTCGTGGCCGGCGGTGACGCTGAGGTGACGTCTTTGGTGACCCTGGATTGCTATGATCCTGAAGAGGGAGCTTGGATAAAGATACGTGGGCGACATTCATTGCGCACGTCATCTTACTTGAAGGTAATAGCCTTCCGAGACATGCTTGTATTCATAGTGCCAGAGATCACGAATGTTTATACCCTCCCTATTGTCGGAGAGCATTCTATTTCGTCGATACTCCATGCGCCTAGCCAGGGAGTGGTGGGTCTAGAAAAACTATGCGTCCATGCGATTGATGTGAAAACCAAATGTTGGCGGTACGCCGATACCCCACGCCTACGTCTGGGACCACTAAACCTGGTGGACTTGTACATACTGACTACTACAGTCAATAACAGGCTTTATATCCGTACTGGATATACCCAGCGTTCCGACCTTTACATCTACGATGCCGAAGAGAACTGCCTAACGAAGGGTGGTGAAGGAGATTGGGAAGAGAACGTTCTTCGCGCGCAATGCGAGCACAGCCACCGCTACGCGAGACAGGAGGGCTTAGTTGATACCATTCACCACTACAAGTTTGGGGATCGCCACATCTCCACAAGGCAGGCGTTTGGAGCCGACCCCACAAGGCAGGCGTTTGGTTTGGAGACCACATTTCCACATGGCAGATGACTGCTGGAGACCTGTTCAGGCAGCAGCTTAAATACATCCCCAAAAGGCAGACGCCCTTTCCATTTGCCTTATTCGGCCACAGCTTCCTCCAAACCAAGAAGAGCCGCGTCGGGTGGTACTGCCGGGACCTTGCAGCACTGGAGAAAAACGACGAACCAGCGTCATCAGACTCCGGACCAGACGCCGACTATTTATGAGTTACGACCTCTGAGTGACTCAACTCCAAGCCCACAAAATGCACGTTTTCTGCGGGAAAAGGGCAGAAACCAATAATAAATAGTTCCTGGATGTTTTTATCCAAATTGTAACAGAATTTATGTTATCTTCATCCTAGACTTCTCCATTAATTAAAGTACCGTATGAAGTATGTTCACAAAGCATGAACGTAAATTGGGCCGCTTGGTGTCCTCTGAACTGTGTACCCTTATGGTATTGGTGTCTGTTAACTTGTTTGTAAATCATGGGTTATTCTCGGATGTTTGGAGACCTATCAGGAGTTTTTTTTAATGCTAGTAAACAATTTTTCAAAGATCAAGAGAGAAATAAATCGAATGCTGATCGATGCTGTCAGACTGTACATGTATATATTGTCTGGAATCTATGCGTGAAGGGAAAATTGGCAGCACCTTCAAAACAAGAATGGGGATATATTGAAGTGGGTTCTTAGCTAATATATAAAATCTAGGAATGTGCATCACTATGTACAGTTGAACAGTATGATTAAATAAATGCGAATGAACACTGAATGGGATAGTGTTTTCTGCTGTATTATCCTCCTGAAGGTATAGCCTACAACAGGTGTTGATAGATGATATCACACCACATCCAGCAAGGGAGTGTCAAATTATTTTATTTCAATACCTAAAAAAATACCAACACTAATAATAACAAATTACACACCTAAAATCAAAGTGATGAACACATAACCACGATAAAAATCAATAGTTTCCTGCGGAAGGATACTAGTATTTCCTTCCCGAATGTAATCATACCTTCTTGCGGAATGATATCTTCTTCCCGGGGGTAAAAATGTCTGCTTAAAGGAGTACCCATAATTCAGCACCGAAACTGGCGCCCGAAACTTGCAATGTTAAAGCAAGGACTATCTATATAATGTCCTTGGTTAAAGCAATGTCTCTTGGTCCTTTTTCTTTAAAGATACCATTGTTAAATTGTGAGTGATGTAGCTTTGTGCCTCCATGGCGCCAGGAATAGGCAACTTTAGGTTTTGCAATTGTTTAGAAATACATTATTACGTTATGACCCCAGCATTCATATCCTTAATTAACTAATTACGATAATGGTGTTTTCAGGAAACTAGAACTACATTGGATGTTTGTCCCTCTATTGAATAGTTTTTTACTCAAAATTTGTCAAATGCACAAAAATAGAAATTTGCATCATCGAAAATCACACTAAACTGTATGCTTCACAAAAAGGCAGGCGATTGTGTTTGTTCTTAGCCGCTCCCATGTCAGAGTTGACACTTTGACATTTCAGTAGTCGCATGGCTCACAATAAGCTTAAGGTCGCAGAACACAGTAATTATCCGCGACCCCCGGAGTATAGACGCGGGTATAGAAAGTAGTGCAGACAAACCTCTCGCATCCTGTCTAAAGCGACTTATGTGAGAGGTAGCCATGAATGAACTGCACTGTGTGGTAAGGAAAGGTATCGGCTTGTACACAGTATGAGTTGGATTGTGAAGATTTCCCTGTTCGTGTATAAATGCGCGGCATTACGCAACCACGTTCCAGGGTGAGCCGGCTGCAGTTCCGTTGACCCCGATAGAGGGCCAAATCAAAGTGGTCGTCATTATGTTAAAAAACGATAACTTTTTTTGGTTTTCAGTTATTTTGTAGAATATACCGTATATTTCAACATATTAGTTGGCCGTGATTCAATAGTGCACCCTACTATAATTTTTACCGCGTCGAAGTGAGTCACCTCGAGGTGCTTAACTATAGGAATCCCCATAGGGCGAAAACTGTGTTCTGCTACCTTAAGTGGAAAAACGAGTTACAGTTCATTTACATACGTAAGTGATTTCGTGGCGGATCAGCGCTGAGATATCTCTGAGATTGCTCTCCGATTTGTGCTTCACAGGTGAGAACATGTTCACTGTACACATTCTAAATCTCATGGGAAGGTTTATCAAGCTACGTAGCTACACTTTATCACTCATAGTGCATGGCATGAAATGTCTAAAAACTAATGGCTGCTAACTCTGTTTGAAACGACCAGAACAGTTTGACAGACTTTCTCTGGCCGAATGCTTCTGGGTCTCAACTACAACGCTTTACGCTCAACTGGGTTACTAAACTATTGTTCAGAAAGTGGTTTATAGTTGGATGGAAACAAATACACATAACGTTAGGTGTCAAACTGGGAGCAATTGGCTTGCGTAAGTACATGTAATGGACGTGACCATATTATCAATCACAACCAGTACATTATTAATGTTATTCAGGTGAACGACATAAACCTACAATTATTAGACCGTACTTAGAGTACTCTATCACGGTTTAACATAGCTGGTCGCTTAGGTCTCTCTAGAACGCCACATTTTTGTTCTAAATGCACGAAAATTGGAATTTGCTATCGCACAATCACGTGACACACTCAGTTTCATAAGCAAGCTATGATGTTTACCAGGCTGAAATGGTGCCCCTCCCACGTCAGAGATGTGAAAGTTCATAGTTCACATAAGTGAACCAACAGGTTAGACATGATTGTATGCAGAAGTAATAGGTCTCGATCCCACGTCAGACGTGTTCATTAGTTTGATAAGATATTTTTGTCACGTTCAAACAAGCTTCTAAAAATCACCAGTTTTGAAGCAACAGTTCTGATGCTAAGTTTCAGTGCATAATGATTTGTTTCAGATCTAGGATTTAGCGAATAGCGTAGAGAGGTTTATTTTGTTCGGTGCGATAATTGTAAAGAGTCCCTCTAAATTGTAGTCCTTCTAATGATTAACGTTATCATAACAATCTACATACAAGGGTCTACGTACTACAGGTTCTTTCTCTTTGGAATCACTTTGTCCTTGGGAGGACACATTAACTGAAAAATAACAAAAACATAGTACACATGCTATCAGAAACTGGGCTTGCTTTTGAAAGAAGTAAAAAAAAAATTGTCGGCATAAAAGAGTACCCATAAGCCCGCGCGTTCCGAAACTGTCATGCGGAAGTTTTCACGTTATATTATTAAAGGGAACATTTCCTCCTCTCGCGCTCGGTCGGTTCTTATCCGAGCTTTAAGTATCTTGATAGCATTCCATGCATTTAGACGTGTATGGAGTGAAGAATTGTCAAACGTTACCAAACCCAGCTGTTCTCAGTGGAAAACAGGGCTGAACATCGGACTTACTTGCAGGTTCGGGTGGGCCAGCTAGCTTCATAAGGTTTGATAGTGGACTTTGACATGTAATTATGTTTCCAGGTGTTTCAAAAAGAGAAAAGAATGGGCAACTAACAATAGATGATAGGTACTCAGTAGTATATAGTATTGTTGTAATGTATAGATCCCTAGCGCTTAGCATTAGATTATAGCGTTCCAGTATGCAACACTCATGTTTTGCATACTGCATATCCTCTTGTGCATTTAAATTTAGCCCTTCTGGGCAAGAACATGCAATAAAGATTCATATCATATATTGTACATGTATACGTACTGACTTGCGTCGCAAGATTGTGTCTCCCTGTAGCCATGTTAAAACTTCCCTGCGTTTATTTCTGTCCAGCAGATTTCATACTAGAATACCAAGGAAACGCCGGCATGCTCTGGAGCTATGATTCTGATACCTCGAGTGACGACAACGACTATAAATTTAATGATGAATTCGTCCGGGTTTGACTGATTCTGCACCTGATAACCCGTACCACGACAGTACAAGGGTGGTAACCCCTACAATGGCCCGCAGAAGGAGAGACAGAGAATCAGACGACTATGATGAATTGGACCAGATAAGTACTACATGTATGACCTTGACTGATTCTGCACCTGATAACCCGTGCTACGAAAGTACAAGGCCGCCAGTACCCCCACCATTCCGCAGAAGGTGCTATATGGAATCTGATGACAGTACGCCGCCGCCGCCGCCAGTACGTATACGCCCACCACCCCCACTAATACGATACCGCAGAAGGTGCTACATGGAATCTGATGACAGTACACCGCCGCCGCCGCCAGTACGTATACCCCCACCACCCCCATCATACATGGAATCTGAAGACGGCTCCCGTCTCTATGCCAACTACCTCCATGGGTCGAGCGTACCCATCTTGCTAAACTTGACAACCAGAGAAAGGCTGTCACCGGGCTGTGTTGACATCCACGCCGTACTTCGAGACCATGTTGTCGTCCAACTTCTCTAGAAAGTAGTTCAAGAGTCATACAACTGCGTGAGATAGACCCCAACACCTTCTCCAAGATCCTGGACTTCCTGTATACTGGGAAAATCCGCATCGGTAAAGACGACGTCCAGGACATTCTGCAGACGGCTCACATGCTACTGTTGGACAAAATTGTGGAGCACTGTCGTGAGTTCATCGAGGACAACCTCTGTCGGTCCAACTGTCTGGGCATCATGCGCCTTGCCAACCTGTATGGGTTTCTGCCTTGAGGAAGAAAGCAAGGAACATGGCAGCGTCAAACTCCCAATACGTTACACAAGATGAGGAGTTCCTTGGCCTTTCGGCACAAGAGCTGGCAGATCTACTCAGAGGCGAGCATCTTTTTTCGGATTTTCTTTTTAAGAACAAAGTCGAAGATGACGCTGTCAGTTCTGTTCTAAAATGGCTCGACCATGCTGAGCACCGTAAGTCCGAAATCCTCATGATTTTACAAGAGATCCATCTGTCTTGTGTGAGAGTCAGCGTGCTACAGAAACTGGAGTCACACCCTTTGATACAAGAGTCCGCAGAATGCCTGGCAAAGATCACAGCAGCTAAGGAGAAACATCTTCTCGGTACACAGGTAAAAGGAGAAGATGCAAGTGTTCCTAGACACGGGATATCGGACGATCTGGCAATTATTGTCGGTGGTTGGAAGGCAGTCGGCAGAGAGCCAACGCCCATGCAAAGTATAATTTGCTTTGAACCAGACTGTCAGCAATACTACCACATCACCACCCTCCCAACACCTGCTTCTGAGTACATGAGCGTGGCAAGTGCAGGGAGACACCTTTATGTGACAGGTGGGCGAGTCCATCCCGTGGTCGGCCAGGGTCCCAAATCTTTCTCCAGGCAAGCCTTCCGGTACGAGTTCCCTTCGGACACTTGGCTGAGGCTGCCCGACATGCCTCGCCGCTGGGCAGGGCATCAGTCCGTTGTCGTTGACGGTAAACTCTTCCTGGTCTACGCGACGTCTTTGATGACCATGGATTGCTATGATCCTGAAGAGGGGGCTTGGATGAACATAAACGTGCGACCATCACTGCGCCCTTCATCAAAATGGATGGTAACAGCATCTGGAGACAAGGTTGTCATTATCGTGTCAAAGGCAAAGATCACGGACGTAAAACACGGTTGCTTCTCGTGGTTCGAAGAAGAAGGTGGACTTGAGATTGAGGGAAAGTTGTGTGTTCTTGCGTTTTATGTGAAAACCAAAGGTTGGAGCTACGCCGATATCCAGATGGATGAAGTCAAGTCAAGTCAGTCCTTGGTGGAGGACATGGACATTCGCACTACTACTGTCACTGACAAGCTTTATATCCGTACTGAATATACTAGTACCCAGCATTCCAACCTTTATATCTTCAACGCCGAAGAGAACACCCTAACGAAGGGTGATAGAGAAGATGGGTGGGTATGGGATGGGGACGTCCTTCGCGCGAAATGTGAGCACAGCTACCGCAACGTTAGAAAGAAGACCACGGGCTTCGCCATCGTGGACACCATTTGGTATGGGTTACGTCACAGGCAGACGCCCCTTCCCTTTGCCTTATTCGGCCACAGCTTCCTCCAAACCAAGAAGAGCCGTGCCGGGTGGTACTGCCGGGACCTTGCAGCACTGACGAAAGACGACGAGGCTCAGCGTGTAAAATCAGACGGTGAGTCTATTGAAGGCCTATTGAGACTTGGGCCCTATACGAGACATAAAGAGCCCAAAAGCAGAGTGTATCGGCGAGAACAGTTTGGTTTGCTGCTGATGCCTAGGGAAGGATGGGACAAGAGGACCCATACTGCTCCCCAAGATGGCAATCACGGGCCCTCTCCGATGTACCGTGTATTAAGCATTGCAAGGGACGGGCCCTCTCCGATGTAGCGTGTATTAAGTATTGCAAGCGGCGGGCCCTCTCCGATGGCAATTGATGCCCTCGAATCGAATCGAAATTAATTCAGCTGATGGCTACCACTGCTTCGGCTACGTATTTCACATTTGATTAAATGTATATGGCAGGCTTCCATACAAGTGTATGTAAAACTGAACTACAATTTGAGGATGCAAGTAAATGGAATAAACCGTTTATGCCGCAAGTAAATTTTATGGATGACGTCCTCTTGAGACCCTACATCTAACTTAAGAGCAAAAAAACAAGATGCCAGGATTTGAAAGAGACGTCACTGACAGGTGTCACTGAGTGACCCCGGCTCGGCAAACGAGAGCTGGGGTCACTCAGTGTGCCTACTGGAGCTACGCCGTTCTGAATGACTCGAGTTGGCTCCAAATTCCCGTTTAGTCTGTGAGACAGGCAGAGGCCAAACACTTAATAACGTTAAATAACATCATTTCAAGACTGAAGGACTGCCAGAAAATCTGGTTGATCAGAGAATGTGATCACCTTTCACCCCACGATCTGCTCGGAGATAAGGTGGACATGAACTAGTAGTATTTTGTGCCAAAAAAGTAAGCTCTACATGTACTGCACCAGATTACCGTACTGTGGCAAGGCTATTCTACTGTTTCCTGCGCTTACAAACAGCTGTGAACTTTTCGAATTTATGCTAAGAATATGGTAAAGGCCAAATGATTTCGGCTGGTATATTGTGATAAACATTGTCAACAGGATCTAATCTAAGATGTTGTTCCCAACATGTAACTGATCATAAAAGACATAAGTTGTATTTTATCTTATCCTAGATTTTTACATGTACCTTAATTTATTAAGTATGTATGCTACAACCAGAACCTAAGTTTGACCGTTTGGTGTCCTCTGAGCTGAGCAGTAACCACCATTATAACTACCACCTTGTTTGTAAATCATAGCTTATTTTGGGATGTTTAGCTAAATCTGACGGGATTTTCATTAAGCCCAGCCAGTGAAAGATTGAGTAAACATAGGCTAGGACTGAATAGCCTGGCAGACATCTGTTTTTAGTACCCGTTTTTTTCGGGGTAGCTAGTACATATATAGTGCAAGTAGCCCCGTTACAAAACGGGTGGCACCTGGGCTAAGGGCTGCAAATGTACTTATTAGACAATGTGATAAACATTGTGCATAAAATCCACAGTGTATAAACCTGCAGGAATTCAAGTTTGCATGGGTTAAGTGTATCACGAGTGTCTCCTTGTTGACTTGTGCACACCAGCTCTATATATATTTAAATGCGCCAAGTCCTCTATTTGTAGTCCTTATAATGATTAACGTTATTATAGCAAGCTCAATTGCGGCATACAAGGGTCAACGGACTACAGGCTCTTTCTGTTTGGAATCATTTCTTTGCTTGGGAGGACATATAAACTGAAGAATAGCAAAAACATAGTGCACCTGCTACTATAAACTGGGCTTGCTTTTGAAAGACGGGTAAAAATGTCGGTATAAAACAGTACCCATAAGCCCGCGCGCTCCGAAACTGGTATGCGGAAGTTGTCACGTTGGAGTCTACGTTTCGTAGTTTCGGTCGATTCTTGTTCGAGGTAACCTGACAGCATTCTGTGCATTGAGACGCCTTGAACAGTCGAATAACAAACACTGCTGTTCTCTGACGAGAGTAGGACTGAACATTGGAATCATTTTCAGGTTTGCGATCTACCTTCATAAGCTATGTTAATGTTGTAATCTGACTCGCCGCGTCGTAGCATTATTTCTCTTGGTGGCCATGTTAAAACTATACCCCTCGTTTAATTTCGTCCAACGGATTTTATAGAACACCAAGTGAGCCATGTTCCGGTTCCGAGTGCGTCGTGATTCTGATGCCTACGGCTACGACGACTATGATGAATCCGACAGGGAATACCCCTATGAGTATGACTCAGATATCTGCTACGTCAACAGAAGGAGGGACAGAAGATCGAAAGAAGATGGTTCCCGTCGCTTTAAAAACTATTACCAAGGACGTGAGCTCCTTGCTGAATTTGCCAGTCAGCGTGAGGCCGGGGCATTCCTTGATGTGGTGGTACAAGTCGAGAGTAGAGAGTTTCCCTGTCACCGGGCAGTACTGGCATCCACGCCGTACTTCAAGACCATGTTGTCGTCCAACCTCTCTGAAAGTAGTTCAAGAGTCATACAGCTACGTGAGATTGATTCTATAAGCTTTTCCAAGATCCTGGACTTCCTGTATACCGGGAAAATTTGCATCGGTAAAGATGACGTCCAGGACATTCTGAAGACGGCTCATATGCTGCAATTTGACAGGATTGTGCAGTACTGTCATACGTTTATCCAAGACAACCTCTGCTTGTCTAATTGTCTGGGCGTCATGAGCCTGGCAGACATGTATGGTCTTTCTGTCTTGAAGACGAAAGCAAGGGACATGGCAGTGTCAAACTTCCCAGATGTCACACAAGAAGAGGAGTTCCGTAGCCTTTCGGTTCAAGAGCTCGCAGATATACTCGGAGACGAGCGTCTGAAAGTCACCAATGAAGATGACGTCGTCCAGTCTGTGTTACGATGGCTCGACCATGTCCCTGAGAACAGCAAGACAGGAATCCTAAAGATTTTGCAAAAGATCAATTTATCGTGCGTGAGGATCAGCGTGCTACAGAAGCTGGAGTCACACCCTGTGATACGTGAGTCTGCAGAATGCCTAGCAAAAATCACAGCGGCTAAGGTAGAAGGGGAAGATGCAGGTGTTCCTAGACTCGGGATATCGGACAACCTGGCAATCATTTCTGCAGCCAAGAAACCGCGTCTTTACAACGTGCACCCCATCATTGCAGAGCCTACATCTGTACAAAGGATAATTTGCTTAGACCCAGACTCTGAGCAGTACTACCACATCACCACCCTACCAACGTCTGTCTCCGGCTACATGAGCGTGGCAAGTGCAGGGAGACAACTGTACGTGACAGGTGGGCGGGTTCATCCTCTAGTCGGCCAGGGTCCCCATTCTGCTCCATCCAGACAAGCCTTTCGGTACGATTTCCCTTCGGACACTTGGTTGAGGCTGCCCGACATGCCTCGCGGCAGGGCAGGGCATCGATCTGTTGTCGTTGACGGGAAACTCTTCGTGGTCGGCGGTGATGCTGAGGCGACCTCTTTGTTGACCATGGATTGTTATGATCCTGTAAAGGGGGCTTGGATACAGATACGTGTGCGCCCGCCATTGCGCACGTCATCGATATTGACGGTAACAGCCTTCAGGGACAAGATTGTATTCATCGAGATACATCGCGATGACCGTCCGATCACAGTAAATTTCGGTTTTGCGTTACTTTTCGGGGCGACTATGGGCGACTATGGGCTCTCAGAAAAACTGTGTGTCCATGCCTTTGGTGTCAAAACCAAAGATTGGCGGTACACCGATATCCAGTTCGATATCCGAGGTTTGGTGCGCGTGGAAATTATCGCGACTGCTGCCAATGACAAGCTTTATATCCGTACCGGATGTACACCGTATGCTAACGTATACGTCTTCGATGCCGAAGGGGAGAACCTGAATAAGGGTGATAGACGCGATGTCAAAGAGAAATTCTTCCGAGCGCATACTGAGCACAGTTACCACTACATGACTGGACAGGAGGGCATCGTGGATATCATTCGCAACTATGACTTCGGAGCCGACGACTTTATGGCAGCGACGCGCCTTCCCTTTGCCTTATTCGGCCACAGCTTCCTCGAAACCAAGAAGAGCCGCCTCGGATGGTACTTTCGGGACCTTGCAGCACTGGAGAAAGAGGACGAGCGAGAAGGGTCAGACAGTGAGCTTAATGGAGCTACGAGCTCGAGTGACTACGAGTGACTCGAGTTTGCCCCAGACCCACATTGCACATTTAGTGTGTGAGACAGGCAGAAGCCAAACACTCAATAACATAATTTCAAGATTAAGAATGAAAGACTGCCAGAAAATCTGGTTAATAATAATGTGACCACCCTTCGCCCCAAGATCTGCTCGGAGATTAGATAAACATGAACTATTTTGTGCCAAGAAAAATGAGCTCTACAGCACCAGATCACGGTACTGTGCTGGCAAGGTTATTCTAATGTTTAATGCGCTTACAAACAGCTATGAACATTTGGGGTTAATGTATGCTAAGAATGATATAAGCCACGTGATTACTGCTGGTATATTGCGATTAACATTGTCAACAGGATCTGCTATAAGATGTTGTTCCCAACATGTAACTGATCATAAAAGACATAAGTTGTATTCTATCTTAATATCCTTGGTTTTTTTCATTAATGCAAGTACCTTATTAAGTATGTATGCTCACACAACCAGAACCTAAGTTAGACCGCTTGGAGTCCTCTAAACTGAACTGTATTAAACACCATTGTGATAACCACCACTATTCTTCTTTGTAAATGATTGCTTATTTTCGGATGTTTAGAGATCTAACAGGATTTTTCTTTGCTAACGATCATTTGGCCAAAGATCAATGAACAGAAAAATAAATCAATAGACGAAATGCTGATGTCGTCAGTGTGTATATATTGTCTATAATCAAGGCGTAAATGATATAATGGTACTAGTACCCTCAAAGTATATTGAAGAGGGTATAAAGGGTCCTTGTTGTCGGTTTGTGAGCTCTGTATTGTGCAAAGTTGAACGATCTACTGCAAATTTGTGCCAATGCAAAAAGTCTGAACTTGTACGGCTTGCAGTAGCTTGACGAAATAACGGCCGGCCCGCCTGACAGGGAGGGTTTTCATTAAGCCCAGCCAGTGAAAGATTGAGTAAACACAGGCTAGGACTGAATAGCCCGGGAGACATCCGTTTTTAGTACCCTTTTCTTCGGGGCAGCGAGTACATAGTGCAAGTAGCCCCGTTATAAAACGCCGCGAAGGGCTGCAAATGTAGGAAAATACTTACTAGACAACATGATAAAAATTGTGCATCAAATCCACAGTGTATGTACCTGCAGCAATTCAAGTTTGGTTAAGTTTATAATCTCCTATGTATGAATGTCTCATTGTTGACTTGTGCAAACCAACTCTATACTTAAATGTGCCAAGTCGTCTATTTGTAGTCCTTGTAATGATTAACGTTATCATAACAATCTCAATTGCGGCATACATTTAGAATACTACAGCCCGGCCGCGGGTCGGATCGCCCGAAGGCCGGAGGGAGATCCGATCCGCGGGAGGGCTGGGACTGAGGGTGATGCGGAATACACCGTGTGCTATTTTATTCATGTCATACCTACCCGAGAAAACAGACATTTCAATGCGAAATGTGCCAAAATTTGGTGTATCCAAACAAAAACAAAAAAGTGTAACGGCGTCGATTCCAACATCCGAATTCGGTGTTCCAAGTTTCGAAAGCGGCTCACTCGGTGCACGCGAAACGCACTATGGAACATTTGGAAGCCCGGGCCGTACGCGTAAAGAACCCCGGGCCGTACGGACGGGTGATTATCACACGGGCCGGAACGGCCCAGGTATGATAAAGGGGTCAACGTGCTACCGGCTCTTTCTTTTTAAAAAGCAATTTGTTACCTTGGAAGGACATATAAACTGAACAATAGCAAAAACATAATACATATGCTATCATAAACTGGGATTACTTTTGAAAGAGGTAAAAATGTCGGCATAAAAGAGCTAGTACCCATAAGCCCGCGCGCTCCGAAACTGGTATGCAAAACATGTCAGGTTGGAGACAGCATTCTGTGCATTGAGACGTCTTGAACCGTCGAGTAACAAACACTGCTGTTCTCTGACGAAAGTAGGCTGAGCATTTACATACATAAGTGATTACGTTGCGGATCGGTGCTGAGATATCTCTGAGATTGCTCTCCGATTTGTGCTTCACAGGTAAGAACATATTCACTCTACACATTCTAAATCTCAGAGGAAGGTTTATCAAGCTACGTAGCTACACTTCATCACTCATAGTGCAGCATGACATGAAATGTCTAAACACCCATGGCTGCCAACTCTGTTTGAAACTACCAGAACAGTTAAGTAACAGGCCAAATGCTTCTGGGTCTCAACTACAACGCTTTACGCTCAACTGAGTTACTGAAATCTTGTTGAGAAAGTGGTTTATATTTGGATGGAAACAAATACACATAACGTTAGGTGTCAAAGTGGGAGCAATTGGTGTACGTACGTAAGTACATGTAATGGACGTGGACAGATTATCAATCACAACCAGTGCATTATTTATGTTATTCCGAGGTGAACGACTGGACATAAACCTACATGTACAGTTAGACTGTACTTATCACGGTTTAACATTGCTGATCGTATAGGTCTCTCTAGAACGCCACATTTTGTTCTAAATGCACGAAAATTGTAATTTTCAACTGCACTATCACGTGACACTCAGTTTCGGAAGCATTCTATGATGGATCACGTGACACTCAGTTTCATAAGCAAGCTATGATATACAATCACGTGACACTCAGTTTCAGAAGCAAGCTATGATGTACAATCACGTGACACTCAGTTTCAGAAGCAAGCTATGATGTACAATCACGTGACACTCAGTTTCAGAAGCAAGATATGATGTACAATCACGTGACACTCAGTTTCAGAAGCAAGCTATGATGTACAATCACGTGACACTCAGTTTTAGAAGCAAGATATGATGTATAATCACGTGACACTCAGTTTCATAAGCATGCTATGATGTATAATCACGTGACACTCAGTTTCATTAGCAAGCTATGATGTCCACCAGGCCCAAGCTATGTTGCCCCTCCCATGTCAGAGATGTGAAAGTTCATAGTTCAATAGTGACTCACATAAGTGGACCAACAAATTTTGAAAAATTTGTTGGTTTAAAAATTCAGGTAAGATATTTTTCAGATAAAAATTCAGATAAGGTAATTTGTAAAAAATTCAGATAAGGTAATTTGTTGGTTTAAAAATTCAGGTAAGATATCTCACGTTCAAATAAGCTTCTAAAAATCACGCAAAAGTTCAGCCGCTAGATCGTTGAGTTTCAGTGCATGATGCATTGTATAGCTTTTCAAATCTAGGATTTAGCGAAGAGCGTAGAGAGGTTTATTTTGTTCGGTGTGATAATTGCAAAGAGTCCCTCTGAATCTATCGTAGTGTGTTGTTGGAGGCTACGTTTTCTGGTTCCGGTCGATTCTTGTTCGCGGTAACCTGACGGCATTCTTACATTGAGACGTTTTGAACCGATAAATAACAAACACTGCTGTTCTCTGCCGAGAGTAAGACTGAGCATTGGAATCATTTTCAGGCTTCATAAGCCACGTTAAATCATGATGGACTTTTAGACTGATATAGGTCCCTGTACCGAATAGTTATTGACCCAAATGCACAACAATAGACACTGTATGCTTCTCAAAATGGCAAGCGATTGTGTTTGTTTATAGCCGCTCCTATGTCAGAGTTGCTTTGGGACATTGAAATTTCAGTAGTATGGCTCACAATAAGTTAAAGTGGAAAACGAGTTACAGTTCATTTACATACATAAGTGATTCCGTGGCGGATCAGCGCTGAGATATCTCTGAGATTGCTCTCCGATTTGTGCTTCACAGAACATGTAGCCTGGGTGCCATCCTCAGTAGTATTCACCCGCTAGCTTTTATAAACGGGGGTGGCACCCAGGCTGAAGAACATGTTCACTGTACACATTCTAGATCTCAGAGGAAGGTTTATTAGTCTACGTTGCTACACTGTATCACTCTCAGTGCTTGACATGAAATGTCTAGAAACCCATCATGCTATCATGGCTGCTAGCTCTGTTTGAAACGACTAGAACAGTTTTAATGACAGGCTTGCCGAATGCTTCTGGGTTTCCGCTTTACGCTCAACTGAGTTACTAAAATCTTGATCCGTGGTTTATGTTTGGATGGAAACAAATACACATAACGTTACGTGTCAGAGTGGGAGCAATTGGTGGACGTAAGTATATGTAATGGACGTGGACAGATTATCAACCACAACCAGTGCATTATTCATGTTATTCCGAGGTGAACGACTGGACATAAACCTACATGTACAATTAGACTGTACTTATCACGGTTCAACATTGCTCGTATAGGTCTCTCTAGAACGCCACATTTTGTTCTAAATGCACGAAAATTGGAATTTTTAACTGCACTATCACGTGTCACTCAGTTTCGGAAGCATGCTATGATGAATCACGTGACACTCAGTTTCAGAAGCAAGCTATGATGTACAATCACGTGACACTCAGTTTCAGAAGCAAGCTATGATGTACAATCACGTGACACTCAGTTTCAGAAGCAAGCTATGATGTACAATCACGTGACACTCATTTCAGAAGCAAGCTATGATGTACAATCACGTGACACTCAGTTTCAGAAGCAAGCTATGATGTACAATCACGTGACACTCAGTTTCAGAAGCAAGCTATGATATACAATCACGTGACACTCAGTTTCAGAAGCAAGATATGATGTACAATCACGTGACACTCAGTTTCAGAAGCAAGCTATGATGTATAATCACGTGACACTCAGTTTCAGAAGCAGGCTATGATGTCCACCAGGCCCAAACTATGTTGCCCCTCCCATGTCAGAGATGTGAAAGTTCATAGTTCAATAGTGACTCACATAAGTGGACCAACAAATTTTTAAGAATTTGTTGGTTTAAAAATTCAGGTAAGATATTTTTTCAGATAAAAAGTCAGATAAGGTAATTTGTAAAAAAATTCAGATAAGGTAATTTGTTGGTTTAAAAATTCAGGTAAGATATTTTTCTCACGTTCAAATAAGCTTCTAAAAATCACGCAAAAGTTCAGCCGCTAGGTCGTTAAGTTTCAGTGCATGATGCATTGTATAGCTTTTCAAATCTAGGATTTAGCGAAGAGCGTAGAGAGGTTTATTTTGTTCGGTGTGATAATTGTAAAGAGTCCCTCTGAATCTATCGTAGTGCGCTGTTGGAGGCTACGTTTCTTGGTCCCGGTCGATTCTTGTTCGAGGTAACCTGACGGCATTCTTACATTGAGACGTTTTGAACCGTTGAATAACAAACACTGCTGTTCTCTGCCGAGAGTAGGACTGAGCATTGGAATCATTTTCAGGCTTCATAAGCCACGTTAAATCATGATGGACTTTTAGACTGATATTGGTCCCGATAGTTATTGACCCAAATGCACAAAAATAGACACTGTATGCTTCTCAATAATGGCAAACTATTGTGTTTTTTTATAGCCACTCCCATGTCAGAGTTGCTTTGGGACTTTGAAATTTCAGTAGTATGGCTCACGATAAGCTAAAGTGGAAAAACGAGTTACAGTTCATTTACATACATAAGTGATTCCGTAGCGGATCAGCGCGGAGATATCTCTGAGATTGCTCTTCGATTTGTGCTTCACAGAACATGTAGCCTGGGTGCCATCCCCAGTAGTATTCGCCCGCTAGCTTTTATAAACGGGGGTGGCACCCAGGCTGAAGAACATGTTCACTGTACACATTCTAGATCTCAGAGGAAGGTTTATTAGTCTACGTTGCTACACTGTATCACCCACAGTGCTTGACATGAAATGTCTACATGTAGAAATCCATCATGCTATCATGGCTGCTAGCTCTGAAACGACTAGAACAGTTTTAGTGACAGACTCGCCGAATGCTTCTGGGTTTCCGCTTTACGCTCAACTGAGTTACTAACATCTTGATCCGTGGTTTATGGTTGGATGGAAACAAATAATACACATAACGTTACGTGTCAAAGTGGGAGCAATTGGTGGACGTAAGTACAGTTAATGAACGTGGACAGATTATCAACCACAACCAGTGCATTATTCATGTTATTCCGAGGTGAACGACTGGACATAAACCTACATGTACAGTTAGACTGTACTTATCACGGTTCAACATTGCTGATCGTATAGGTCTCTCTAGAACGCCACATTTTGTTCTAAACGCACGAAAATTGGAATTTCAACTGCACTATTACGACTAGCCTGACTAAATCGCGCTCCTGGCGGCCGCCGCCCTAGGTTGCGGTGGGGGTCATTAACCTCCGGCCGAGAGCTTTGTATACACAGGCTATATTACGACGTGATACTCAGTTTCAAGCAAGCTATGATGTACAATCACGTGACACTCAGTTTCAGAAGCAAGGTATGATGTTTACCAGGCTGACATGTTGCCCCTCCCATGTCAAATATGTGAAACTTCATAGTTCAATAGTGACTCACATAAGGGAACCAACAGGTTAAACACTTGTTCATCAGTTTAAAAATTCAGGTAAGATATTTTTGTCACGTTCAAATAAGCTTCTGAAAATCACGCAAAAGTTCAGCCGCTAGATCGTTGAGTTTCAGTGCATGATGCATTGTATAGCTTCAGATCTAGGATTTAGCGAATAGCGTAGAGAGGTTTATTTTGTTCGGTGTGATAATTGTAAAGAGTCCCTCTGAATCTATCGTAGTGTGTTGTTGGAGGCTACGTTTTCTGGTTCCGGTCGATTCTTGTTCGAGGTAACCTGACGGCATTCTTACATTGAGACGTTTTGAACCGTTGAATAACAAACACTGCTGTTCTCTGCCGAGAGTAAGACTGAGCATTGGAATCATTTTCAGGCTTCATAAGCCACGTTAAATCATGATGGACTTTTAGACTGATATTGGTCCCTGTACCGAATAGTTATTGACCCAAATGCACAAAAATAGACATTGTATGCTTCACAAAAAGGCAAGCGATTGTGTTTGTTCATAGCCGCTCCCATGTCAGAGTTGACACTTTGACATCATTCAGTAGTATGGTTCACAATAAGATTAAGTGAAAGAACGAGTTACAGTTCATCATTTACATACATAAGTGACTAAGTGTCGGATCAACGCTCAGATATCTCTGAGATTGCTCTCCGATTTGTGCTTCACAGAACATGTAGCCTGGGTGCCATCCCCAGTCGTATTCGCCCGCTAGCTTAACTGGTAGCTAGCGACATTATAGAGCGGGCGAATACTAAAGGGGGTGGCACCCAGGCTAATGAACATGTTCACTGTACACATGTACATTTTAAATCTCAGAGGAAGATTTATCAAGCTACGTTGCTACACTGTATCACCCACAGTGCTTGACATGAAATGTCTAGAAACCCATCATGCTATCATGGCTGCTAGCTCTGAAACGACTAGAACAGTTTTAGTGACAGGCTTGCCGAATGCTTCTGGGTTTCCGCTTTACGCTCAACTGAGTTACTAAAATCTTGATCCGTGGTTTATGGTTGGATGGAACAACAAATATACATAACGTTACGTGTCAAAGTGGGAGCAATTGGAGGGGTAACTACATGTACATATAATGGATCAATCAAAGTCAGTGCAGTATTCAGGTGAACAACACAAACCTACAATAAGGCCTTACTTATCACGGTTCAACATTGCTGATCGCTTAGGTCCCTCTAGAACGCCACAGTCTTGTTCCGAATGCACGAAAATTAGAATTTTCAACTTTACAATCACTTGACACTCAGTTTAATAAGCAAGCTATGATGTTTACCAGGCTGACATGGTGCCCCTCCCATGTCAAATATGTAAAGGTTCATAATTCACCTAAGTGAACCAACAGGTTAGACATGATTGTATGCAGAAGTAAAAGGTCTCGATCCCACGTCAGTCTAGATCTAGGCGTGTTCATTAATTTTAAAATTCACGTAGGATAGTTTTGTGACGTTCAAATAAGCTTCTAAAAATCACGCAAAAGTTCAGCCGCTAGGTCGTTAAGTTTCAGTGTATGATGCATTGTATAGCTTCAGATCTAGGATTAAGCGAAGAGCGAAGAGAGGTTTATTTTGTTCGGTGTGATAATTGTAAAGAGTCCCTCTGAATCCATCGTAGTGCGCTGTTGGAACACCTCCTTACATGCCTTAGGCAGCTCGGGAGCGGTGTCACGCCACTCTCCTTGCAGAGGCCCAGGCAGAGAAAATAATGGCTACCTCGCTTTAACGTTACACATAATCAGCGATATGAATGTAATGATTCGTAATGGGCACCGACAATTTTGGTAATTCTTGATCAACCCTCATGCAGGGCCCCACATATGTGTGTTTGAAGGTGGCTTATGTGCACGATAACTCAAGAAGTTTTGGATGCATCTGGCTTGTCGTGAAATTTAGTATGTGGTTAGGGCTTGACATATAAAGAAATGATTGGCAGATTCTCACGAATATTCGTTTGTAGGTTTAAATCATGATTTGCTAATTATGCAAATCATGATCTTTTCAATTGCTAATTATGCAAATCATGATCTATTTTTCCTCATCAAAATGATGAAATTCTATAATTCAGCTGTGTTTCATGATATGACATTCAAACACAAAACATGTGTAACTAAAACAGAGAGCAAAATCAATGCATATCAAATATGCGTGAGTTAATAGTAATGGTGAATATCACTGGACATAAATCACAAGTCCGCCTCATGTACATGAGAAAATGGTACAGCAGCCTTCTTTGTGAAGATATGATAATTTGACATTCGTGTATTCTAATCAACTGATATGATTTATGTAAAAGCGGACCTTATTTCCATAGTGAAGAAAACAATTACATTGTATAGAACGCCCTTCAAAGGTCAAAATAAATTGACAAAGGTATGAGGTCGTGGAACTCGGGCTTCATAATTTGCTACCTTAATGTAATGCATGTACACTTTACATACTTTTAGTTGCAAATGTGTTATTGTGTCTTTCTACAGGCCTGCTAATACAGTCCCGCATCGATCTGCCATGTCTCGTGGCTACCACGACGAATTTGGCCACTGGCAGTGCGTTGGAGGTGACTCTGACTCTGACCTTGACTATGACGATGACTATTACGATGACTATTACGATGAGGAATGTTACTTTGAAAACGACCATAACCGCGACTGTGATCATGACAATGGCCATGAACATGACTATGAATCCGCCAACTGGTACAGATGGAGGGACAGAGAATCAGAAGACGGATACCGTAGTTTCGAAAACCGCGCCCGAGGACGCGAACTTCTTTCTGAACTTGTCAGCCAGCGGAAGAGCAGGGAATTGCTTGATATAGTGGTGGAAGTCGAGGGTAGGGAGTTCCCCTGTCACCGGGCTGTGTTAGCATCCACGCCGTACTTCAAGACCATGCTGTCCTCAAACTTCGCTGAAAGTAGTTCAAGGGCCATAAAGCTGCACGAGGTTGACCCCACCAGCTTCTGTAAGATCCTGGACTTTTTGTATACCGGGAAAATCCGCATCGGTAAAGATGACGCCCAGGACATTCTGCAGGCAGCACGCATGCTACAGTTGGACAAGATTGTACATTACTGTACGTTGTACGTTGGAGGTCGCAGTGACTCTGACAATGACTATTACGATGACGACTTTTACTTTGACAGTGACCATAACCCTGACAATTACCATGACCGCGACCGTGGCCATGAACATGAATCCGCCAACTGGTTCAGAAGGAGGGACAGACAATCAGAAGACGGATCCCGTAGCTTCAAAAACCGCGCCCAAGGACGCGAGCTTCTTTCTGAACTTGTCAGCCAGCGGAAGAGCGGGGAATTGCTTGATATAGTGGTGGATGTCGAGGGTAGGGAGTTCCCCTGTCACCGGGCTGTGTTGGCATCCACGCCGTACTTCAAGACCATGCTGTCGTCAGACTTCGCTGAAAGTAGTTCAAGGGACATAAAACTGCACGAGGTTGACTTCACCAGCTTCTGTAAGATCCTGGACTTCCTGTACACCGGGAAAATCCGCATCGGTAAAGACGACGTCCAGAACATTCTGCAGACGGCTCATATGCTACAGTTGGACAAAATTGTGCAGTACTGCCGTGAGTTCATCCAAGACAACCTCTGCCTTTCCAACTGTCTGGGCGTCATGCGCCTGGCCGACCTTTATGGTCTTTCTGCCTTGAAGACGAAAGCATGGGACATGGCAGTGTCAAACTTCTTAGACGTCACACAGGAAGAGGAGTTCCTTAGCCTTTCCGCGCAACAGCTTGCAGATCTACTCGGAGACGAACATCTTAAAGTTACGAACGAAGATGACGTTGTCAATCCCGTGATAAGATGGCTTGACAATGCCCCTGAGACCCATCAAACAACAATACTAAAGATTATACAAGAGATCCGTTTGTCTTGCGTGAGGGTCAGTGTGCTACAGAGGCTGGAGTCACACCCTGTGATACAGGCGTCAACAGAATGCCTGGCAAAAATCACAGCAGTCAGAGAGAAACACCTCCTTGCCACACAGGTAGAAGATACAACTGGCCCTAGACGTGAAATACCAGACAACCTGGCAATCATTGTCGGCGGTTGGAATGCAAACAGGAGATCTGGATTCACATTTAAAGGCGATCCCCCCATCATGTATAATGCACAGTGGCCAACGCCCATGGAAAGCATAATTTGCCTAGACCCGGACAGTGAGCAATACTACGACATCACTACCCTCCCAACGTATCCTGTTTCAGGGGACATGAGCGTGGCAAGTGCAGGAAGACACCTGTACGTGACAGGTGGGCGGGTCTATCCTCCACTCGGCCAGGGTCCTCATTTTGCTCCATCCAGGCAAGCCTTTCGGTACGATTTCCCTTCGGACACTTGGCTTAGGCTGCCTGACATGCCTCGCGGCTGTGCAGGGCATCAGTCAGTAGTCGTTGACGGGAAACTCTTCGTGGTCAACGCAACGAGTTCTAGTGCGGTGACCATGGGTTGCTATGATCCTGAAAAGGGGACTTGGATACATTCCATACATGTGCGCCCGCCATTGCACCCTTCATCAAAGTTGGCGGTAACAGCCTGCGGGAACAAGGTTGTATTCATCGTGGCAGAGATCACGGATGTCGATGACCGCTCCAACGACATACAGAAAAGGGCAGATATCCAGCAAAGCAAGCCTAAGAGTCAAGGAAAACTGTGTTGCCATGCGTTTGATGTGAAAACCAAAGATTGGAAGTACACCGACATCGAGACTGGTGCCGGTAGCCTATCCATATATAAGGACGTGGATATTCTTACGACTGCCGTCAATAACAAGCTTAATATCCGTACTGGATATACCCAGTATGCAGACCTTTACATCTACGATGTCGAAGAGAACACCCTAGCGAAGGGTGATGGAGGAGAT